TTTTTGGGGATAGGGTCTTAGAATTTATGTGCAGGCAGGCCTAGACTGTGATCCTCTATTTATGCTTCCTGTGTAGCTGGAATGACAGGAGTGTGCCACCAAGCCCAGCCTCTTTTTATTGGTTGAGATGGAATCTCATGAACTTTTTTACCCAAGATGGCCTAGAACCAGGATCCTCCAGATCTCCATCTCCCTAGTAGTTGGGATTACAGATGTGGTTCAACTAACTTTTGACAAAGGTGTAAAAGCAGCTGAGTGGAAGAATACTAGGCTTTTCAATCTATGTCACTGGAGCCACTGAACAGCAACAGCCTGACACAATGGCACTCTGTGTGAATCTTATACTTTGCACAAAGGTAACTCAAAGTGGATCATGAACTGTGTCAAATATAAAATTGTAAAGAATTTTAAAAACTATCAGAGAAAATCTTTGGAGTCTGGAGCTGAGCAAAGAGTTCTTAGACTGGACACCAGAAGCACAATCCATAAGAGCAGAGATTAAGTTTGACCTTGTCTTAGCCAGCTCAGACTGTTCTAATAAAATATCAGTCTCACAGTTCTGAGACTGGAAGACCAAAGTACCAGAAGATTTGGTACCTGGTGGGACCCACTTTCTAGGTTACAGACAGCTGCTTCCTCACTGTCTGCTCACCTGGCCCTTCTTCAGTGCTGCCTGTTCATGAAGAGAAAGCTAGACCTCTCTGTCTTCCTCTTCTTATCAGGGCACTAATCCCTAATCAGACCTAATCACCTCTCAAAGACCCCATGCCAAATGCCATCACATTGGTTTTGCTATTATATCAACATATAAGTTTTGTGAGGACACAAATACTCAGTGCCTAGCAGATCTTATCAAAATTAAGAGGTTTTGTTCCCTGAAAACATTAGATGCAGATGAAAAAACAAGCTGCAGACTTGGAAGAGAAAATATTTGCAAACCATTTATCTAACAAAGGACTAATATCTAGAATATATGAAGACCTCCCAAAACCCATATCAGAAAATAATCCAGTGAGCAAAAGACACGAGTAGAACTTTTCATACACATGAAAAGTTGCTCAATATTAACCATGAAGGAAATGAAAATTAAAATCACAATAAGATATCACCACACATCTATTAAGTGGGTTAAAAATTTTTTTTAAATAGTGATGACAGTAAATGTTGACAAGGATGCAGAAAAACTGGATAACTAAGGAAAACAACTTGGCAGTTTCTTTAAAAACTAAACATAAGGGCTGACAGAGTGGCTCAAGTGGTAGAGCACCTGCCTAGCAAGACTGAAGCCCTGAGTTCAAACCCCAGTGCCACCAAAAAAATAAATAAATAAACATGTCACTACTATCCAGCAATTGCACTCGTGAATTTTCCCCAGGTAAATGAACCCCAAACCTTGTATTCACACAAAAACCCAACTATTTAAATCAGCTTTTTTCATAATAGTTAAAACCTGGAAACAACCACAGGATATCCTTCAATAGACGAATGACTAAACAAACTGTGGTATGGCCATACAACATGGTACTACTGAACAACACAAAGGAATAAACCAGTGATACAGGCAACAACTTGGATAAATCTGAAGAGAGCTATGCCGAATGAAAAAGCCAATCTCAAAAGATTAAAAACATATCTATTAGATAATTCCATTTATACAACATTTAAAAAAAATTTTTTTGTTGTTTGAGACAGTGTCTTGCCATGTCATCTAGACTGGTTTGGATCTTGCTATGTCACTCAGGCTGGTCTCAAACTCAAGATCCCCTCTGACTGGAATTACAGGAATGAACCACCTTTCTCAGCCCAAAGATAAAATTTTAGAAATGGAGAACAAGTTGGTAGTTGCTGGAGTTAAGGATGGGAAGGAGGGGCACAGTAAAGGATGTGGGTGTCGTTGTAACAAAGCAACCTAAATGGCCTTTGTGCTCATGGCATTGTTCTGTATGTTGACAATAGTGGTGGATACACAAATCTACACATGTGATCAAATGTATAGAACTAAGTACACACACAAATCTGAATAAGATGGATGAATTGTATCAAAATCAATATCCAAGTTGTGACACTGTACAATAGTTTTGAAGATGTTGCCATTGAGTGAAGTATATCATAAGATAAAGGTATTACTTCTTACAGCTGTGTGTGAATATACAATTATTTCAAAATAATGAGCATTTTAAAGCATCAAGTTGTTCTTTCATTAGGGGAGAAACTGGGTAAGAGAACTGGGTAAGTAGGCTGACAATTTGGCAGTTACTACAAACTCAGCATGTAACTGCAACACAACCCAGAACCTCTTCCTGGTACTACTCTTTTCTCAGATTTGTGTGTTACAGGTATTTTTCTCCCCAGCTGTGCCATTTTTGGCTCATTTTCTTGTTTTGTTTTATTTTTTGGTCTATGTTCTTAATAATGTGTTTTGATGATAAAGTTTTAAAATTTTAGTTCAATTATTTTTTCTTATGGCTATTGCTTTAGAAAGGTTTATAAACCTTTGACCACTGAAATCAAGATGATATTCCCTTGTGTTTTCTAAATTTTTATGATTTTAACTCTTTGGCTTAAGAATGTGATTCATATTAAATTTTTATATGATGTGAGGTGGGATCAAGTTTCACATTTTTCCCAAATGGATATGTTTGTTCCAACACCATTTATTGCAAAAAACTTTGGCACCTTTTCAAAAAATTAAATGGGTGGCCAGGTATCAGTGGCTCATGCGTGTACTCCTAGGTACTTGGAAGGCTGAGATTGGGAGGATTACAGTTCAAGGCCAGCCCAGGCAAAACTGTGAGACCCCCATCTCCAAAATAACCAGAGCAAAATGACTGGAGGTGTGGCTCAAGAGATAGAGCACCTGCTTTGCAAATATGAAGCCCTAAGTTCAAACCCCAGTCTTTCCTCCTGACAAAAAAAAAAAAAAATCAAATGGTAAATTTTTGGGCTCTTTATTCTGTCTTAATATGTCAATCCTTACGTGAGTTTCACATTATCCTAAGTACTGTAGCTTTTTAATAAGTCTTAAATCAGGTATAGTAACTCCTCCAACTTAATTCTTTCTCAAAATTGTCTTGAAAATTCTATATCCTTAAGTAGATTTTAGAAGCAACATTTTTACCAAAAAAAAAATTACCGTGATTATGATTGTAATAAATCTATAAGTCAATTTGAAAGAATTGACATTTTAATATATTCTAAATTATCCAAGCCATAAGCAATGTATGTATACCATTCATTTAGTGCATTTAATTTTAGTAGTTTAATGTTGTTGTTTTCAACATAGAGTTACCGCACATTTTTATTACATTTATTTCTTAGTATTTTATATTTTTGATGCTGTTGTAAATGGAATTTTTTAGATTTCATTTCTGTTTGGTACTGGTATATAAAATATAAATGATTTTATATTAACTTTGTATCCTACAGCTTTACTGGATTAATGTATTAGTGTTAATGAAAATTTCATAGATTCTTTAAACATTTCTGTGTAAGCAATCTGGCCTTCTTGAAGTTGTGACAGTTTTACTTATTTGTTGTAGTATCTTTTTATCTTACTTCTTTTTAGTATCTTACTGCAATGGCTAGCTGGGACTTCCAGTAGTGCTGAGAATAAGCACTCTTGCCTTGTTTCTAATCTTAGGGAAATACTGTTTGTTAATTATTTCATCAAAGATATGATTTGGCTGTGTTTATCATGTCAAGCATTTGAAGCTTCCTTCTATTCCTAGTTTTCTCTTCCTTTTTTTTTTTTTTTCAATGGGACTAGGGTTTGAACTCAGGGCTTCACACTTGCAATGCAGGCACTTCTACCTCTTAAACCACACCTCCAGTCCTCTTTTTTTTTTTAATTATGAATGACTGTTGAATTTTGTCTTTATCTTCAGCCATGAAAATGATTGCATTTTCTCCCTTATTCTGTAATAGTGTGAAATTCTTTGGATTTTGGATGTTAAACCATTTTTGTATTCCTGAGAAAAACTCCACTTTGTTATGATTTATTGTATATTTTAATACTTACAGATTAAATTTGATAATAGTTTTTGAGCATTTTAGAGAAAACTGTTATAATGGGGCTTCACTATAACATTAGGCTGGGGCTCAAACTTATTGAGACTACCTAATACAGTCCTTCACAGGCATGGGGAAGTGTTTTCCACACTAAAAGATGTCATAAGACCTCTTTCTGTTACTGTGTTCTGCTCAATACTCCAGGTGAAAGATTTCTTAGAATCCACTATAGTTGATCAGACACCAGCAAGATTAATGGTTGGATGTATTTCTCATCATTGTTTAATTTCAAATATGATTAGTCATAATTAGAGTCACTGGCATTACTCATAAATTGATGGGGTTTTTTTGCTGGCCCTGGGGTTTGAACTCAGGGCCTCACATTTGCTAGGTAGGCACTCTACCACTTGAACAACTCTGCCAGCCCTTTTTTTGGGGTGATATTTTTCAAAATAGGATCTTGAGAACTATTTGCTCAGGCTGGCTCTGAACCTCGATTCTCCCTCCTCTCTCCAGGCTGGCTCTGACTCCTGAGTAGCTAGGATTATAGGCGTGAGCCACCAGCACCCAGCAATGTTACTAAAACATCTTAATATTATTGAAGCATGCATTAATAGTCTTGTTTTCAGTAGAATGCTTTTGGAAATTAGAATTATTTTTTAAATAAAATGTCACTTATTATTTTGCTAAAGTTTGACTATTATCATAAATTTCTCAAAAAAAAAAAGCTTGCAGTCAGGCCTAAGGTTCATAGATACAGCAATGTATCAAATATATCACCTCATAAACAAACCTCTTTATACTTAAAAACAGTATACATCCTTATGCATTTCTGTTCACCTATTTTTAAGTGCTTTTCTCTAGAAACAATTTTTTTTTTTGTAATTCACATTCAGCATTATAACTCCTATCTCTCTAATACTTTAAGAGATATTTTATAAAGATTTCTCTTTTTTAATCTTTGTATATGATATGGACCTTCAATTTTACAGATTAATAAACAGAAAGAAGACATGGAAATAAGAAAAAAGCTTGAAGTCATAAGTATCAGGGTTTGTATTTTCTCTTATTCTCTCTCTCTCTCTCTCTCTCTCTCTCTCTCTCTCTGCATCTGGGTAGAAGAATCTATATGTACCATATGAGGCTTTCACTTTCTGATGTCTGAGTTTGAAAGAGAGATGCTTGAAGAGTGTGAATGGACAGGAAAGGCAACTGTTGAGAGCAGAGCAGAGAAGAGAGAGTGAGCACAGAGTAAGCCTGGTGGTGTCAGAGCAAAAGTGTCATCCTGGTGGGAGCTCCTCAGTCTCCTTGCCCTGCCTCTGCAGATTCCTGCCCCTTCCTTCTTACCTTCCACTCCCCTTCCTTCTTTCCACCTTGACCCAGACCTCAAACTGTCACCTCATCCCACGCCACAGTGACCACACCTTCTCAGGTGCTTCCTAAGAACTTTGATTTGTTGGTATGTTTTTCCTAGAGCTCAGAATCCCTGGGAGTGGGGATGGGGATCGGGATGGAGAAATGAGCCTAGCTGCTAATCAAGGCAAACTAGGTAGGAGAGTGAAACTGGGAACAAGGACATATTCATGCCTTTTGGGAGTGAAAACTTCAACTCTGGTTTCCTGCTCAGGGGATGGAAAGAAAGGGGCACAAATCCAAGGAATGAAACAAGAAGGCCAGTGTTGATTGTTTTTGTGTTACAGAGGAGCCTGAGAGCAGTCAAGGTGAAAGATACTGCTTTGTCCCCATGGCCTTCACGGTCCAGAGCTCTATCCAGCAGCTTGACACCGGTGCAGCCCCGTTCTGCTTCCATCAGTACATCACCTATTAGGGTTAAGAAAGCCAAGCCTCCAAAGAAGACTGCAAAGGAAGAGAGTGCTATGGTAAGAACTGTGCACATGATCACCCTTATGGCCCCTTCCCGTGCACCTTCCCCGTGGACCAAGCCCCAGTCCCCTTGGTACTATTCCAGCCACAGCCTACTATCCTGTGCCCAGCATCACTCAGATCAGCAATCACAACACACCTGAGTCTCACCTGGGAGCCGGGAGCTCTGCCTGCTAACCAGCATGCCTTCGCTAGGTTGCCTAGCTTTCCCAAGAGGATGTCTTGGGGATGTTCTCTCCAACTTGGAGATTAATTTGGGTTAGTACTAAACCTTGGTGAATCTCTATTGAGTTAGCAAAATAGAGAAGCTACATTCCCAGCACCTTCTAGGGTAGATCATCTCTAACTCATAACTGTCCACTGTCTCTGAGGAACTAACGACATTCCCTGAGGACTTGCAGGTGTCCAGTCCACCTGTCCATGTAAGGTGGACAGCTATCACACTATCAGAAACAGGCATGCATGAATTATTGTTGTCCTCCTTACCCACCATCTTCCCCCAAGTCAGAAGGGTTTCTGCTGGACCTAGGGTAGTGCCCTTATTCCACATGGAGGACCTGTTAAGAAGCAGCTCTGTAAAACTAAGCTCTCCAGTAGCTTACTGTGTGACTGTAACTGAGGCCCTGCTCTCTGCATTACCCCAGACCGCCCTTTCCCATGGTCCGGGGAGGACTTCCTTCTGCTCTCAACTGCAGGAGTCCTTGTGTTTCTCTGAGCAGGTGATCTGTGGACACTTTGAGTTGTGTAACTCATTCAGAAAGTTTTAGACTCCAGCTGGTGACACACAGGCAAATGAATTGTACTTCACAGCAAATCTCTCTACTTGCATAGTTAGATCTCCTGTACCCTGAGTCCTGTTTCTACAAGATGCCACATTTTTTCTTCTTCCCCCACCAGGGGCAGAAGTTGCCTCTCTAACAGTGGAAGCTGTGTGCATCTTGATTCTAAAAGAGACATGAAAGGCAAAGGCCTCTCAAGCCTACGTCACCAGACAGATGGCTCACTCTCACACCCAGCAGAGGAGTGAGGGAAGAAGAGATAGTGGAAGTTTCCCTGCTGGGAAGGAAAAACCAGATGAGAAAATCCATTTTCCATCCACTAAGAGCATCTCACTTGGTAGGAATTAGGAAACATGATTTCCCATGGAAGGGAATTTGCACATGACTGACCAGTGACTGGATTCTAGAAGTAAGGGTTTTATAATTCAGACATTGGGACATTTCCTGGGTGGGCAAAACAGGCAACTAGTCACTGAGTGAGGGTGATGTGGAGAACTGGCTCACCACCCCAGGCACATAGAAGCCAATACTGTGGCACTGGGATTTTGCAAAACCAACCAAAAAAGGCTTCTTATTGATGGGTAGGGATGTGGCTCTGTGATAAAGTGTTTACCTTCCATGTGCAAGGCCCTGGATTTAAAAAGAGAAAGAAAGAAAGCTTTGAGGGCCAACTATGAAGGAGAAAAGATTTTAAAACATGTAAGCTTGTGTCTCAATTAGTATGGTGAAGGTGTTATAGAAAGAGAAGAGGAGGTTTTAGGGTTCTTTTGTTGTCATTACAGGGAACAGTTTCTTTTAGGGAAGAAGGGTACTTGTGGGATTGTGTCCAGAAAATTTCATTGACCAGAGGAGCTGGCTTCTTCTGCTCATGTCTGTTCTTGAAAAGGTTGGTTTCAAACCATGCTTCTTGAGTAGATTCTGGAGGCTTTTCCTGAAAGTCAACTGAAGCACTTTGTTACTTAAGGAATTTATGTCTGGGCATGTCCAGATTTCATGGGACTTCCAGGGGCTCTACTCCAAGCTTGGGCCTAAGTGAGCCTGTGGCCAGGGCAGCACCCTGTTCCAGAAGGGGAGTTAATGAGATGATTCTGTGTCAGAGGTCTGCGGGTCAAGGCTGTAAACCATGGCTGGGAGGACAGGGGAGCAGGTCAGTGAGGCGGCAGAACAGCTGATCTCCTGACCCAAGGTCCCAACAGCAGGGGGCAGCTAGCGGTAAGTGCCCTGGTCCTCACAAGGACCCCATCCCATGGCTGAAACGGAATCCTAACTCCAGAGTTCTCAATTTACAGATGGACACTGCACTTCCAAAGTCACAGTCATGGGGGTCAGGGCCACCCAAAAAGGGAGAGACAAAGGCCAGCCTAGGGTCTCAAAGAAGGTGCACCTACAATCAGCTTTTCTCTTGCTGTCATACTCTTTTCTTCTGGGTAGACTTTTATCTGGGTATTTCCAGAGCATTTTGGCTGTTGGAGAGACTCTGAGGTTAATATGTAACAATAAGTAAAAATTGGACCAGAGGGAGGGGAAGATGACCTAAGCTTGGATTTATAGTTTTGTATCAACCGACTCCGTTTTCAAGCGAAATCTATTTTTGTAGTTCACTGTTATGATCATCACACATGCTTTGTGCTATCCCTTTCCCATGCAGTTTAGTCTTCAGTATATATTAACTCTTGAAATACACACTCTAGTTATGATTTTCCTGCTACTGCCTTAAAATATTTAACTCTGTGGAGGTAGCAAGACCTCTTAAAAATGATCTTTAAAGGGTTTTATACTATTTACTCAGTGTAAATGACCAAACGGAGAGCTTGCTGCAGGAACTTTTTACATCAGTCATTGAACTTATCTAATTAATCATACTTATTTTTTGAAATCTGTGTCATTCGGTGGGAACGGAGCACGTGCTGCACACAGTGGAGCCCACAGTGATAACTGGAGTGTTTAGCCAGTCTGAAAAACATGATCTGAACATTGCCTTCTCATTTCTATTTATGAAAGATTTCACAGCATAAAATTGATATTTGTATTGTGCACTTGGGTAAAGTTTATTTTTGATATCTGTGAAACATTTCAGATACTAAGGTTTTCACAGATCAAGGCTAAATTGGATGCCCAGGTTTCCCTGCCCCCACACTTGCCCTGCCTTAAGTAATTAGTTAATTAAGGTTGCACCCATGCAAGGCTTTCCTGGAAGACTTCTGAGTTTCCATGAGGTGCCCTGGTCTACACTGATGGAACATATGGTGTGTGCTTAGGTCTGCAGAAAGAATTAGTGCCCTGCTCCATGGGAAATGGGACAAGGGACAATGTCAATCATGTTCCCATTCTCAGAGTTCTCCCCCGAACAAAGCGATTTATACAGACAAAAGAGTTTAATAAAAAACTCCAGAACATTTTTTTTAACATTCAAGAATTGCTAAGTAAAATATTTTTGCTATCATTTTTGTGATTGTGACCATGGTTACCCTGCAATCTAGTTAATTTTTAAAAACTTATTATTACAGGATATAGAGTTATTATTATTGGCTAGGTGGGTAGAGAAGACGTCCTTCCCTCTGAAGTGCATCTCTCCCATACAGCCCTTTTGTTGTTAAATTGTACATGATGTGTAAAATAAACTTCTCTGTGTCAGAGAAGAAAATGATATGATATGATATGTTCACGGTTTTGTGATTCCATTCTTTTCCCCTGGGCTTGAATTGGTAAACGAGGCTATTACTTCTGCAGAGCATCATGGGAAGGCCAGCAATTTGTTCGTTGTGGATCTGGGCACCCTGAGCACTGGGGAAATACAGACAGGACAGTCCTGAACCCCTGCATGGTCTTCAGAGGTTGTCAGTGATAGTTACTGTAGTTTGATAGGTCATGGTAACACAAAACAATTGCCCATATCATACTGGACTTTTGTTTTATTAATATGAACAAACGTAAAATGTAGAGCTAACTGAAATCACACACTACAGTTACTTACTTTATTTTAAAATAAAAATTTTCATTAACCACTAAAATAAATTCATTCATTTTTAGATTCTGCTATCGGAGACTGACATTGAAAACCTGACTAATATCCTATTTAAAAATAGGAAGCTTTTATCTTCTATGTTACTTTATTGAGTAGCTTGATGAAATATTAGATAAATACTTTCAGTATATTTGGTTTCAATAATATTTTAGTGAAAGCAATATTTAATGCTTGTTGCACAAATGGAAAGAGGCATTTGTTTAAATGCATTTCCGAGGTTTTACAGTTTTCTCTTGTTTTTTTGTTGGGAAATCATTATAACATTTTATCTGTGGAGGTCACAGTATTTTGGTATAACTTAAATTAAGGACTGAAGATTTTTCTGTGGAAGTCAGGAATAGAAAAATTTGAGACCTGGATAATTGCCTATTCCTCCCCAGCAGTCTCAACCATGGGGCAGATGCTAGGTCCTGACCACATACTGACTGATACTTGAGTTGGTGGTAACAGAAGTGCCATCCTTGATGTGCAGGGACCAACAGAACAGCCATTTTCCCCTCCTTGTGTGGTGCTGCTTTATTCTACTTCCCTGGGCTTCAGCTGTGTGTTTCTCTCCAGTTCCCACTGGGCACTGAGGCTTGTCCTGAACACTAGGGCATCTGACCAGTCCTAGCGCTGCCCAGACGTGGGCCTTTCCCCCACAAGCCTGAGCATTTGTCATGCTGTCACTCAGCCTGACCGCCATTGCTGCATGTGTCAATGCTGCTGCTTCTGCTGTGAGCTGTCACAGGTCTGCTTCAATGTCCATGCTTGCCAGGCATGAGCCTGAGGTGGCAGTGGACTTTAGGTCCTTCTCTTGGATGCATTTCCACCAAATGGACAGTTTTCCAGCTCTGCTCCCATCAGCCCTAGATTCTCCAGAGCCCAGCTTTCTCCTTTAAGCCCTGGAATTAGTCTACAGAAGTTGTAACACATCAGGTTTTTTTCTTTAGGAACTGAGGATGGTTCTTAACCTTTTCTTCATTTCATGCATCCTTTATTTTCTTTTCCTCAGTGTAATCTGTTCATTGACAAAACTACACAAGACAAGTTGCTTTCCCTTATTTGTTCATGTGTTACAAATTGCCTCCTCAGAGAGCCAGTAATCTTATTAATTGATTTTAATGCTGGGCAAATCCAAAGAGTTCTCAAGGTTTTTTGCTGATAAAGCCCAATTAGGGAATAAAGGCATATATTTTTTAAGACAGGGTCT